CGAGGTCTTCGAGATCTTTACTTTTCCTTGAGCGCAGCTGCCGCGCGAAGACCGATAGAAAGGACTCTATGATACGCTCTGTAGCCAGGGGAACCCATCCATTGTTGACGGTGACATGCTTCCGGAAAAGGGGCAGAGCAGTATCGTTGGGGGGAATCCGACGAAGAACGGCGATACAGTTCTCAAGTGTTTGCGGCGACAAAACAACTGTCTTATTGTTGGTATCAGGAGAATCGATGTTCCCGGATCCTATTATCAAAGGACTGCCAGATGGGGTGCCGGTGGATGGACCTTGTACGAGTGAGAGACTATTCTGTGTTTCTCGGTAGACGGACGAGAAGCTTGTGAAGCCCAAGTAACCAGGATTAGTCTCTGAAGGAATGCCTCGCGCTTCGGAGGACTCCGATGCGGCGTTGGGGGCCGCCGGCGATGATGTGGCATCACAATTCGAGCTTGGTGAGAGCTGGATACCACTGAGCAACCGGAGTCAGCTTTTGACCTGCTGTTGGAGACAATAAAGGAGACAATAAAACTTACCCTACAGGTTTTGGAGGGCTTTGCCGCGGCCGCAATCTTCTACTCGCCTGAGGAACAAGATAGACACATCCAGCGGGATCGTTACCAGCTCTACACCGTCGACAAACCGGGAACGCGTGGTCACATGAGACCTTACGGTTGCGACAGGGCTCACAAGCCTGTAACCGCCCGTTTCTGCGACGGCCCGGAGCACCGAACGCCGAGGGTGCTCGCGCGGCGGCAGATTCCTCCATCGGCTCAATAATGGAAAGAGGTACAAAAAGCTGCCGTGGCGAACATAGTGTAGACTACACCGTATGTTTGCTTGAAAGGAAGTAAGCGAATTGGATGTGTGTCATCCGGCGAGTGCATGGATGGCTGCGAGAGCCGAACTCCGTGTGTACTTCGGCGTTCGGCTCTCGCCATCTCCTCCTTTCGGCTCCTAAACTTTGCACACTGCAAAATACCTCGGAATTGAACGATCTCAGCTGTTAATCCATTGATCCATCAGTTACGTTGATATCAGCAACACCCAGAGATTCTTCTATCTACCCACATGTATCTCAGTTCCATCATATAATATAGTGGACCTTTTCAATGATTTGCCTGTCCCAATCAGGCGTTCTCATGGTTAGTTATAATCAGCTTGTACTTTACTCATCACTGGCTTCTCATGTCTTTAAGTTTCGTTTATGGGTCATGGTATCGAGACCCGTGTAGTATCACCAATCCCTTGTGAAGACAAAACGGACAGGCTCGCCATATGCAGCCCTGAACCTTGGAACTTACAAATCGCACCCGAGGTGGGAGGTACGTTGAAAGGTGACTCAATCAATCTAGGATATGGATGTACTCCGCATCCGGCATCAGGCAGCCCGAAAGCAGGAGCTTAGTGTGCAATATCTACATGTCGACACGGTCCTTTTAAAAAGGTGCCTGCACAGGTGCGGATGATATTGGTACCGTCTTACACGGTAAATGTGTTGACATTTCAAGCCACCCTGCCACCACCCCTGGACAGTGGAGTACAGTGGGGCGGTTCATTGCTCGTAAGGGCGCAGTTAGTGCACGTTTGTGACAAGTCAACGTCAAGTCATGTTAATACACGCCGATGACCCATGAATGGCTGGACCGGCATACAGCCCAGACCCTTGGCATATTAGCAGAAGGAGTGACGCATTGCGATCTCTTTACGACATAGCTCGCTTATGGTTGATGCGTGTAGTCGGCTCGCTGTCTGCATGCAGGGACTTGGCGGTCAGTTTGTAGCTTGCTATGGGTAATTAAGCAACTCCGAAACCTTGGAAACGAAGTGTGATCTGAGTCGGATTAGGTGATCCGGGTTCGGAGCTGGCTGCATCACAGGATGATGTTGGTGAGTTGATCTCGGAATTGTCTGGTATGCCTCAAAGCCGCGTGGCACCTGGGGACATCCTGTGTCGGGTCTTAATATATATGAATGCGAGCAGTCCTGTTGACTTTGTCTTGGATCTTCAAGATATTCAGATCGATCCAGCGAAACCAACCTCGTTTTCAAACATCCTTCCCGTTTCAACGCCCAAGAATTTCCCTGTCCTCATATCTCGGAAGCAACAGCAACAACAACAGCCATGCCGGATTTCTACGACGTCGCCATGTTCCAAGCGGCTGCACAGAAAAACAAAAATCTTCTGCCAAAGCCGAACGAGAAATCGGACTCTAGAGGTCAACCTGCCAAGAAGGACGCCATGGCATCTGAAGTGACATTAGTCAATGGTGACAACGGCTCACAGTCCCAGCCTAAGGATACTGAGGGTAAGTCAATAATCTGCAGGTCCGATAGCTCCTTGAAGGTCGTGTACTGATACAACGTATAGATCACCACAGGAAGTAATTGCTTTCAAAGAGGGCAACGGTGGAGAAAGGTGGCGGCACAAGAGGAAAAGAGCCGGAGGCTTATGGATTTGGACCCAAAGATACATATTTAGTAGAGGAGGAGTTCCAGGAGCCATTGGGAGCAACAAACTTCATGAGGGTATTGATCGAAAGGCGTGGATGGCGAGTTGCAGTGTTTGCTGGTGAAGATGACGGTGAAGGCACTTGGGGCGCCGATGGGTCCTTGGGAGGTACTGGATGCGCCCTTAAGACCAAAGGCTTGAAACAATCGATGCGTAGCATATATGCTGACAATAAAATACGTGATAACCGCAGAGCTACCTATGAGTCAGCGCTATGTAGAGGTCCTGGAGTGCTCACCTCGCTGGGTATTCCATAGTACTATTGACCATTGCAGACGCCAAGTACTTGTGGAATTTGGCAGACCTCAAAATGCAAATCTGAAATAACAAGCTTGCCACTGCTCACTATCAATAGTTGACAATCTATCTTTTTCCAAATCACCCTGTAGTCCTTGACCTCTTTTCTGAACATCAATGCGGATAACAAGCACTTTATGATCATTCATGCAAGTCTGCCGTACAGATACCTTCGAACGACCTCAGAGGATGCTCCCCACTTTGGAATCTAGCAGTGAACCTCATCTGACCCAGTGAGTGAAACCTCAATCGAGATTGGAAATACGTTCTTTTGTACTAATGGGCAGCCAACCTCTGATCGATTGACAAACAGCTTTTGTATTCAATATTGCCCGGACATCCACTCCTCAGTCCCATCGCAATTTCAGCTCATTGTCTCTCTTGCTCTGCCTACTCAGGCAGTTCGGTCAGCTCTGTATCCACTACAACCTTCCTCATTCATCGAGCGTGACGGTCTCAGACGTCTTCTATTATCCTCAAAAACAAGTGTTGGAGTTTGGAAGGCCAAGTAGACCTAAGGCCTGGGATAGCAATATACCGGAACAGCTTCCTACCACGAAGATATAGGACGTTGACAAGCATGAATAGCGCCGCCGTTCCCTACAAGTTCAGAGACAGAACTACTTTCTTCCCATACCTTTGACGATAACAGGGATAACGTAAAATGAGTCACGTCCGGCGTCCCTGACCACCCTGGGGCAGCAAACAGCCACTTGGGCGCACAACCCTTCCAATTCTCGGCGGTACATTTCGATCCCGCGGTCTCTCACTGAAGATCATCGGTCAGCTCTTCCCTGAAGCTCATTTTGAGATCCACTGCGTTGGCTATCCCAAAGAAATCGACTTCTCGCCAGTGGGAACCGAACTTGTTCAGATGTTCACAGAAGTCGACACCGAAAGCATCTTTCGCATGACTATGACCTGATGCGATACACCCCGCAAGGCCGAGGATCCTCTGTTCTGCAGCAATATATACACGTATCCCGGCTGTTTGGCAGCCGAGGAGTACGGCAATATCCAAAAGTCTGGCCAGGTTGGTCTCGGCGAGATCATGCTGGTTACCTTCTGCGATGATTGCAATCGTTCCTCGGGCCTGGTCAGACAGATTGCTGGCCGCCAATATACTCTCGAAGACGGCTTCGACGCGCTTTTTGTTCCTCCTGAGCTCCGGAATGACACCCATGAGTTCAGTCCAAAGTTATGGACTGTTGGCGAACTGATACCATATGTATACATCTGCAAGGATATGCCGTTGCGTCTCGTCATTTTGAGGATCAACACCCTCATGCGGGCCTGGATCATTTGCATGATCAGTTGGTTGTAAGTATATTCGTTTTTTGGAACAAGGGGTTTGTCTTTGTCAAAAAGTTGTTAAAGGCATACATAGAATGGACTTCCAAGCATTGTCTGACCAAGAACTCACGGAAAACTGTGCTATTACACATTCAATCCCATCCCATCTAAGTGCTCCTTTGGACCACGAAGAGACGACTGGGCTGGCTTACGACCGTATCGAAATGCAACTGGTGTGAACGCTTCGGTCAGCATGGACCTTAAGTCTCAGGACGGGCAGTACAGCTTTATACAAGCTTTTATGGAGGTATTGTTTGTCGAGAAGCGGGTGGACCCACGGGTGGGTAGTGTTCTTGCCCAAGTGTAGACCTTGGGAACCTGTCGATAACTACCCTAAGGTAACTTTACAGACGGATGCTAGGACAGAGGCAGCAAGACGTCTGAGTAAGCTGGTTGAATCAAACTGGGTAGTAATGGATATGAAGTCAGGTCAGCTATCCTGACTATGTACCTAGGTATTACTTATAACCCAACGGCAAAGTCATGATCTTCCAGCGTCGAGGTGTTGGTCTATTACTGTGTATAGTTAAGGGCTAGAAAACATCTCGATAATGGTGGAAGGCTTCCTTATTTATATTATAAAGCTTGATTCCAGCACACATGTGACAGCGGATTCATTTATACAGACCAGATGACGCGTGATATGGGTGAAATATAATAAAGAGATTGTTTGGAGTACCGGTCTAATCTATAGTGCGAGTTCTTTGATCTTGAAAATAGCTTGGTCAGGTGAGGCAAAACATGGAACAATCATTTGTAACGATCCCCAAAATATTTGTTATGAACAGGAAAATAGGGCAAAAGGAAAGGCTGACGATTTAACGTCAGTTGTAATAATGCTTGTCCAGGGAGTCGAACCCTGAGCTCAACCTTGGAAGGGTTGAATGTTACCGCTACACCAAACAAGCGATGTTAAATACGGCCAAGATAAGCCTTATAATCTCTAGCTAGGCATGAGGCGCATCGTGAAGGTGGGCACCCAATTCCGGATTGACTCAGGGGCGTGTCAGTTCCGAGACATAAGGGTTGGGGTTCGACCGCTGAAGGAACTTTAAGATGGTCCGTCCCCGGCAATACGATATCTACACGCTTCACACCCAGGTACAGCAGTACTTATGTTGCTCGAACAAAGCAATTGCAAGCCTCACCTTACGATCTACATATGTACCTTGAAATGGCTCAACTGATGCAATCACATGTCTAGAAGTGCATTGTGGACCATTGCAGGTACTCCGCCCACGCTGCAGCTGGGCAGGGCGGGAAGCTCCACGGCCTGATCAATCGATGTATGTATCAGCGTATGTTATATGCCATGGTAACACTAGCGCATGCAAGCACATGTGTGTGCTAGCATTGATACGTATGGTACTTATGTACCAAAGTAGACTACTACTGATTACTTGGTAATACCGACCTAGGTATACAGTGACCGGGCTGTTGCTGCCCAACGACGTCTGCCCTCGCATCGCCATCTGCTTCTTATCAATGCTGTGCAGGACCATCGTCGAAAACGACTGCACTAATCAAGCAAACTTCTCATGACGAACATCGCGAGTAAGGAGGTCACAATATTTTCAAAATCTACTAGGATTTGCTCAGTTTTATCAATCGACTCGTCTTGAAGGGGACACAATGGGCACCCGTCACCTCGTCATCGTGTATCATGACGGTGAATACAAACTTGCGCAGTTTGGCCAGTGGGATGGTACGTCACCGATTCCTAGCTATCACCCGTGGACCACCTTTAAGGCGGTCTGATAAGGAAGCACATAAGCAGACTCCATCATAACCCTGATCCGCTGACATGACTTTGATTAGGCTACCCTGAAGGTCAGGGCAAGGTAGTGCTGAAGTTCCTCGCCAACCCAGCCAACCTCACCAAGCTCATCCCCAATCTCGACAGACTCTACACGCCAAGTGAGGCGGAGTGGGCTGGGCTCAATGCGAAGGTCGGGGAACTGAAAAGCGTGGCAGATGAGCGGATCTCCAAGATTTACAGCGGCGAGGTCAAGCTCACGCAAGATGAGACCCTGCAGGTCGTCGATGAGTCGAGAGACCCCTCGAAACGCGTCTGTCCGTCGCTGTCCCGCGGCACGGGTGCAGCCATCTTGGACATCATCGCCAACGCCGACAAGCCCATCCCTGTTCAGAACAAGCTCGAGTTCGTCGCCGACATTGTGTTCTGCGAGTGGACGTATGTGATCGATGTCGATGCCGGTGTTCTAGAGGTTTATGCAGCCAGTCGGCCGGTGCTAAGCGGGACCCGTTTCCACGAGCTTGACAGTGTGCACACTCGGGACGGCGGGCAGGGCGACATTACAGACGGAAAACCTTGGGCGCCGAGTTTGGTCGGAAAGTGGCCACTGAGCAACCTCCCTAGCGAGACTGTGTTCTTGCAGGATATCAAGAGCGCCATTGGAGATCGGGAGGCACAGACATCGACCAGCGGCAAGGATCAAGCCGGTGGTCGGGGTAAGAAGGGTGTCGACGAGAAAGGCTGATGTCCCCGACAACCCTGAGCAGGCTTTATGGGCTGACATCGGCACCTGGAAGAATTCATACCAGATTATACATACGGTATCGATGCAATTCTGGCATCCCCCTATCTCCATGCGACGATGGTAAGAGCTGGTCTCGGCACCATTGAGCCCAGTGGCACCATCAACGTTGGCCCCTACAAGACACGTGCCATAATTACAGCGGAGCACCGCTGGTTGATTTGCAGGCTTACCTAGGATGTGAGGATAAATTCGCCAGTTTACATCGGACCCACATGGACCCTTGTAAGCTAGCCCCGGGTGCCGTCTAGCCGTCAAGCCGGCCGTTCAGAGCTTTCTCCTCTATGAGACGATACGGTCCCACCCGAACCTGAGATATAATACCTTCAATGACTCGAGATTTCAACAAAGAGGGCGTCTAGCTCAGTGGTAGAGCGCGTGCTTAGCATCAATACTGATTGCACGAGGTCTAGGGTTCGATTCCCTAGTTGTCCACTTCCATTTTGCTTGTCCTTCCGGTCAATTTTTGCGGGAGGTGGTTGGTGCCTGCGTCGTGACGCTATGCTGTTGACGATCCTAATGCTGATATTCATACCTACCCCTTGCGGCTAAGTGACGAAAGTTGTGCCCTTATCACGCCATTCAAGAGTGTAAATAACATCCATTCCTTCTGCTCGCCATTGTCCCACTGCCATGAGCATTGGAAGGCAACCAAGACCAGCTAAAAGTATCTTTGGGCTGGGTCTCCTGCGCTTATAACCTGTCGGTATTGCCGCTTGAGATGTAGCCAAGCAAACAGGGAAGTTCATATTGCTCGATTCTTTTTGCATTCTAACACCGCGGTCTACAGTGCCAGGAGTACCGATCTGCTTGTAGCTTGTGGCCTGCAAGTGTTCTGCCCACATCCCCCGCCAGAAAGGTGCTGGGAGGAGGCTGGTACCTCTGACCTTCAAGGCCCGGGGGGAATAATTTAATGCCTGTGAGACGGACAACATAACCGGCCGGGCGGCCGAGAAGTTGCGCCGCCTGTAACACCGAGGTCCGATAGCTAAAGTCCCCAAATCCGAGCGGTCGGTGTCCACAAAGCCGCACCGGAGCCTTTGTAGCGTCACCTACGAAGATGGGAGCCACTGATACTGCTTCCCGTCATCTAATCAATCTAATCCATCTAATCTAATCAGCGAACCATCCGCAAACACCGAGCTGGGTATGCCTATATATTAACAAAAGTTGCCTGCATATTGCCAGCCTTGCGTTACCTAGGTCCCACTTCTAACACCCATTGACTCCTTCAGCTTTCACATACTACACGGAAGAATCAAGCCATGGCATCCACCCTGAGAAACGTCGTCGTAGTAGGGGGTTCGTACGTCGGCCTGGTAAGTAGCATTTGGTCCGTGGTTTTTATTCAAAGATGAGACCCTTTGATGGCTGATCAGCTCGTCGTTTTCTAATTATGCAGGCTGCTGCCAAGGAGTTGGCCAACATTCTCCCAGCGACGCATCGAGTAAGTGCATCTGCACACAATCATTGAGCACAATCATGCATTCATTCTTTTAACTGTCCATGACAGGTGCTTCTCATCGATCCCCACAGTCATTTCAACCATCTTTTTGTCTTTGTAAGTGACCACTTCACAGTTACAGCTCGGATAACCGCGCGTCATTGTCCCGATACCGGAGAACACACATATGTACTGCACAGCTTGACCACCACAGCCCACCCTCCATTGGAGGGTCGGAGAGAGACAACCTCTGGCCCCAGGATCTCAGCGGCCTCGCATCGGCTTATAGTAACGACCACTGACGGTTTCTAGCCGCGATTTGCCATCCTTCCGGACTATGAGCACATGGCCTTCATCCCCTACTCAGGGTCCTTCGGAAGGTCACCAAACAAGGACCTGCACGCCATCGTCCAGGCTAAGGTCGTGTCCCTAAAAGCCAAGCAACTCACACTGGATAGAGAATGGCAAGGCTCGAAGCTTCACACGTTCGACTTCCTTGTCGCCGCAACGGGCACCCGCCTCGCTTCTCCGGGGTCCATGCCGTCAGAGGAGAAGGCCTCCTCAGTTGAATACCTGAAGAAGTACAACCAGGGTATCAAGCAGTCAAAGTCTGTGATCCTCATCGGTGGGGGCGCCGTCGGCGTCCAGATGGCATGCGACCTGAAGGAGATCTACCCCGACAAGGAGGTCACTCTAATTCACTCGCGTGAGCACATCATGCCGGTCTACCATGAGAAGCTGAGCGACCTGATCAAGCAGAGGTTCCAGGAGCTGGGCATCAACTTTATCGGCGGGTCCCGCGTCAACATCCCAGAGGGCGGATACCCCATTGGCGGCACGGGCGAGCCCATTGAGGTGAAGATCCAGGATGGACGAACCCTCACCGCCGACTTTGTTATCCAGGCGACGGGCCAGAGCCCTAATACCCAATGGCTCAGGGACCTCCCGCCGTCCTCTGCGGACTCCATCATCAACCCGAAGAACGGCTTCGTCCGGGTCAGGCCGACAATGCAATTCGCGGACCCCGCATACCCGCACTTATATGCCATCGGCGACGTTGCCGATAGCGGTGCCCACAAGGCTGCACGCCCGGGCGCGGGTCAGGCAGTGGTGGCTGCCAAGAATATCCTGGCGTTGATCCAGGGCCAAGAGCCCGTGGAGCAGATCGAAATTGGCCCAGCAGGCATACACCTGACCCTCGGGCTGAAGAAAAACACCATCTTCAGGAACCCCGACATCAAGGAGGGACAGACTGAGCCGTCCTATAACCTCAAGGACGACGGCAGCGCCGATATGAACATTGCCACCTTTTGGGAGAGGCGCGGTGTCATTGTGTCGGATGCCAAGGAGTACCACCTCTAGAATTCACGCATGTGACCATTTGGAGCTTGTGTTGAGCGGATCGCTAGTTGCTCGGATACACGGAACCAAACGATCTCACGGATAATGACTATGAGATGTTACAGCTGTGGGGTTTGTATTAGTATAATTGCTCTGCAGATGTGCAGCATCTGAATTATTTTCCGCTGGAGCTGTGAAATGCATACATAAACGTTTGTTGTTGTGAAACCTCTAGGTGCCCAGTGCATAAGGTAGGTCATACGGATATTCTCCGAAGTGGTCTATACCTCGATGAGATAGTTAGAATCAAGCTTTGGAGAGTTGTATAGGATCACCTGCAGCACAATAGTATTAACTTTCCGAGTTCTGAGGCTCAACTCGGCTCCACTCTTCCGATCCCCCATCCTACATGTAGAATCAATTGTGCTTTGAAGTCAACTACATCACCTGGGCATAGCATAGTACCCTTCCTCATGGTACAGGAAATTACCAGAGTGCATTGTTCAACCCTCATTTCCATCTCCATTTTCTATTTCACCGCCACATGGGAAACTGGTTGAGATCC